GCACTAGGGTATTTTCCGGTAGACTCCCGCTTCCCCCTCCGAACACCGCCCACTGACACCACTCTCGAACGAAACCAGGAGATAGACTGCTTTATTTTAACACAGACACAAGATATATACATTCAAGGGAACAACCCCCCCTCCCTGTATAAGGCACAGATCTACGGACACCACCGCTGACTATACAGGAAATAGACTGCTTTATTTTAACACAGATACAAGATATATATACACAGGGCGGGGCAATACATGTAGTAACAAGAGACACACAGCAGACACCCCCCACCAAGCCAATACACAAACACATACATCCCATAATAGTTTGCTCCCAAGCAAGACACACAATAGAACAATGGGACCACATGGCAGTAAACAATGAACAACCCCCCACACCCCCACATATACAACTCTACTCAATAGCAGAACATTTCACCCTGCACCCCTAACAGGCACAGGGTGACTTACACATAAGAGGGATATGGGGAGCTGAGGCAGGGGGTCTCCCCACCCGTCCAAAGTGAGCTGTGTTCCATGGGCCCCCCACCCAAAGTGACTCCCATCACATACATATACACACATACACACAGTTGTGCTCAAACATTTACATACCCCGGCAGAAATAGTGAAATGTTGGCATTGATATTGAAAATCAGACGGATCTGCCAATAAATGCTCTTTTATTGAAGGATGATGATCATATGAAGCCATTTATTATCAGATGGTTGTTTGGCTCCTTTTTAAATCATAATAACAACAGAAATCACCCAAATGGCCCGGATCAGAAGTCTCCACCCCCTGGATCAGAAGTCTCCGCCGCCCCTGGATCAGAAGTCTCCGCCCCCTGGAATGTTCGGCCTTGGTACAGACACACAAGGGGACACACACGGGTTACAATGCCAATTAGAGGTTAATGTCCCATATTTGTGGCTTTTTAACTAGTTGCCGACCGCAGATAGCCGAATGACGGCTGCACTGCGGCCGGCCAGTTCTGAGTGGACGTCATATGACGTCCCCCCCCAGAACGCGCTCTCCTGCGCGCCCCAGGGGCGCGCACACCCGGCGATCTCTGTGATCACAGCTGATCACGTGATGTGGTAAAAGGCCAATCACAGCGGCCTTTTACCAAGTGATCAGCGGTGTCCAATGACACGCTGATCACAGGGAAATGCAAGTGCCGGTTCTCGGCTGCACTGTCAGATCGTGAGGAAAGTACTGCCGAGAACCGGCAGTTGTCACAGCGGGGATCGGCACCGATCATCAGGGCACTGATGATCAGTGCCCTGATGATCGGTGCCCAGCAGTGCCACCCGCAAGTTCCGCCCACCTGTGCCCCGCAGTGCACCCACCTGTGCCACTCTGCAGTGCCACACACCTGTGCCCAGAAGTGCCACCTACCTGTGCCCACCCACCTGTGCCCACCAGTGCCACCCACCTGTGCCCAGCAGTGCCACCCACCTGTGCCCAGCAGTGCACCCACCTGTGCCACTCTGCAGTGTCACACACCTGTGCCCAGAAGTGCCACCTACCTGTGCCCACCCACCTGTGCCCACCAGTGCCACCCACCTGTGCCCACCCACCAGTGCTGCCCACCAGTGCCATCCACCAGTGCAGCCCAGCAGTGCTGCCAGTCAGTGCCACCAGTCAGTGCCCAGGGGTTGTGCCAGTCAGTGCCGCCAGTCAGTGCCCAGCAGTGATCCCATTTAGTGCCGTCTATCAGTACCCATCATCAGTGTCACCTATCAGTGCCGCCTATCAGTGCTGCATATTAGTGCCGCCTATCCGTGACACCTCATTAGTGCTGTCTATCAGTGCCGCCTATCCGTGCCACCTCATTAGTACTGCCTATGACTGCACTTTAGTGCTGCCTATCAGTGCCCATCAGTGCCGCCTATCAGTGCCCATCAGTGCTGCCTCATCAAACGCACATCAGTGAAGTTGAAAAATTACCTGTTTGAAAAAATTTTATAATAGAAACAAAGAAACTATTTTTTTTTTTTCAAATTTTTTGCATTTTTTTATTTATAGCGCAAAAAGTAAAGCGCCCAGTGGCGATTAAATACCACCAAAAGAAAGCTCTATTTGTGAGGAAAAAATGATCAAAATTTCATATGGGTACAATGTTGCATGACCGCGCAATTGTCAATCAAAGCGCGGCAGCGCTGAAAGCTGAAAATTGGCCTGGTAAGGAAGGGGGTATAAGTGCCTGGTAGGCAAGTGGTTAAATTGCAGTTAGTGTCAGTGTATAAATAGTCAGTGAGTTTGTTAGCTCTTACATGGAAGCACTGACTAGGCTAGATACTGAGCCATGGGGAGCAGAAAAGAACTGTCAAAAGTCCTGCATAACAAGGTAATGAAGCTTTATAAAGATGGGAAAAGGACATATAAAGATGTCCAAAGCCTTGAATGTGCCAATCAGTGCTGTTACATCACCGATTAAGAAGTGGAAAGTTCGGGGATCTCTTGATAATTTTTTTTCTCCTTATTTTTCTTTATAGTCTTTATTTGTTTTTTTTTTTTGGGTTTTTTTTCCTGGTGGTCCCGCCACACATTACTGCAATGTAGAAGTGTAAATGGGCCCTAGCACACTTTTGGTTTTTATTCTATTCAATTGTATTCTAATGTATTTTATTCTTTTCTACTCTATTACATTATGTTTTTGTTCAATTCTTTTCAAAATTCAAATTTTAGAAAATGGCTCTATTATTATTTCTATTTTATTTGATTCTATTCTAATCTGTTCTATTCTTTTATTTTCTGTTCTGTTCCTTTATATTCTATTCTATTTTATTATATTCTGTTTTATTTTTTCCTTTCTATTCTATTTTTATTATATTCTGTTTTATTTTGTTTCCTTTCTATTCTATTTTATTATATTCTGTTTTATTTTGTTCCTTTCTATTCTATTTTATTATAGTCTGCTTTTATTTTGTTCCTTTCTATTCTATTGTATTAAATCCTATTCTTTTGGAAGTTTGAATCTTGGAAGACGGCTATATTCTTTCATTTTTTTTTATTCTATTCTATTTAAAATGCAAATTTCAAATGACGGTTATATTCTTTCTATTTTCTTGTTCAAATATTTTATTAATTATAAAGGGGATGGAACATAGGCATGGGACAAGCCATAGACATTTGAACGGGACAATTAGTAGAAACAGGTATGATGTCCATGTAAAGGGGGGGAGAAAAGCACAAAAATATAAAATGCAACAGCTTGGATGGTAGAAGGAAGACAAAACTGTATGTAGACTTATATACTCATATATAGGCATAGTACAATCTGGTTTCCGGGGGGGTGCTCTCTCCAAAATCGGGGAGGAGGGGTGTCAGGAAAAAAGAAGAAGAAAAACAAGTGTAAGGGGGGAAGGGGGGGGGAAGGGGGTGTTGAGTAGAAGTGGGGGGAGTAGGAAAGGGAAGAGTTTTGGAGAGGGGATGGAGGAAGGAATGTGTGACTCCTAGGATGCTGTAGAAGGGTTTCGAGACATATTATAACAAAGAATATTCTTTCTATTTTATTCCTTTCTATTCTATTAAAAAAATTCGGAAGACAGTTATATTTTTTGATTCTACTCTATTTTTTTTCTCTGCTATTATTTTCTATTCTATCTATTCCTTTATTTTCTATTCTTTTATTTTATTTTCAATTCTATTCTTTTTTTATTCTGTTCTTTTCGAAATTCGAAAATTTGAGAAGATAGCTATATTCTTTTATTTTTTTATTCTATTCTATTTAAAATTCAAATTTTAAAACGACGGTTACATTATTTCTATTTTATTCCATTCTATTCTATTCAAGTTTTGGAAGACAGCTAATATTCTTTCTGTTTTAATTCTATTTTTTTTTTCTGTGCTATTATTTTCTATTCTATCTTTTCCTTTATTTTCTATTCTTTTATTTTATTTTCAATTCTATTCCTGTTTTTATTTTGTTCTTTTCGAAATTTCCGAATTTCGGAAGATATTTATATTCTTTTTTTTTTTTTTATTCTATTCTATTTAAAAATCAAATTTTAAATGACGGTTATATTATTTCTATTCTAATTCTATTCTATTCTGAATTTCGGAAGATGAATATATTCTAACACTAACACAGTCTTGAGGGAAATCAGCAATAGTCGGCAATATGTTTATAGTTCAAATTAGTTTTTCCGAATTTGATTAAAATTCTTTTTAAATCAATTATGAATTCTTTTGGAATTCAATTCAAGTTTTTGACAAAACTTCCCTTTTTGTTATTTCAGATTTTTTATAATTTTGCCACTTTTGTAGTTTATAAAATTCAGATACCTCTCAATCTCCATCTCCGAATAATGACAATTTGTCCATATTTCTATTCGGATCAAACCGAACCGCGCATATCTATAGAATACAACGATCCCAAACCACTATAGTTTACCTTTAAAGGAAACTTTTTTTTTCTGTTTCCTCCAGGGAAATGGAAAGGACAGTTTGACGAACAATATACAGAGGAAAAACAATTTGGGAGTGGATTGCCACCAACCCTAACGCCAAACGATGCGCCGTGGAGGGGACTCTATAAGACGTACAAGGACAGAGAGCTGGATGTCAATGTGCTGGAGATGCCGTACGCCGATGACACCGCCCCTTCTCCTCATCGTACCGAAGACTGGGTGACCTGTTCAGCATGAGCGATTACTGACCCCCCAGCTGATTCAAAAATACTTGAGCTCCTTGAGTACCAGGTATGCATGACAGTTGTTTACAACACAACTCATGGCAGTTTGAATGTTGTTAGAGGGATCAGCCAAATGATCGTACAAAGTGCAACGTGCAGCCTGATGTCTGCTGGGTGAACGCAGGTTCAACTGACAACGCCAGAAGGATGGTGACGGGTATACCCACTATGGGCTGTTAGGGGGCAGGACAGCAACTGATATTGTATGGAACAAACCCCGGACCCCGCATTCACTATATCCGCTCATCCCCAGACCCCGCAATTCCACTGTATATCCGCTCTCCCAAGGGACCCGCATCAAGGGTCACTATTTCCGCTCTCCCCGGAACCGTCCCATTCACTATATCCGCTCTCCCCCGACCCGCACATTCACTATAATCCGCTCCCGTCCATCCCCGGACCCCCGCATTCACTATATCCGCTCTCCCCGGACCCCGCATTCACTATAATCCGCTCTCCCCGGACCCCGCATTCACATATGCTTCCGCTCTCCCCGGACCCCGCATTCACTATATCCGCTCTTCTCCCGGGACCCCGCATTCACTATATCCGCTCTCCCCGGGACCCCGCATTCACTATATCCGCTCTCCCCGGACCCCGCATTCACTATATCCGCTCTCACCCCCGGACCCCGCATTCACTATATCCGCTTCTCCCCGGACCCCGCATTCACTATATCCGCTCTGCCCCGGACCCCCGCATTCACTATATCCGCTCTCCCCGACCCCGCATTCACTATATCCGCTCTCCCCCGGACCCCGCATTCACTGTATATCCCCGCTCTCCCCGGACCCCGCATTCACTATATCCGCTCTCCCCCGGACCCCCAATTCACTATATCCCCTCTCCCCGGAACCCCACATTCACTATATCCGCTCTCCCCGGACCCCTGCATTCACTACATCCGCTCTCCCCGGACCCCCATTTCACTATATCCCGCTCTCCCCCTGACCCCGCATTCACTATATCCGCTCTCCCCGGACCCCCCATTCACTACATCCGCTCTCCCCCGGACCCCGCATTCACTATACCCACATCCGCTCGTCCCCCGGACCCCGCATTCACTATATCCGCTCTACACCCCTGGACCCCGCATTCACTATATCCGCTCTCCCCCAGAACCCGCATTCACTATATCCGCTCTCCCTGGACCCCTCGCCTCACTATATCCGCTCTCCCCGGACCCCCCGCATTCACTATATCCGCTCTCCCCGGACCCCGCGTTCACTATATCCGCTCTCTCCCCCGGACCCCGCATTCACTATATCCGCTCTCCCCGCACCCCGCATTCACTATATCCGCTCTCCCCGGACCCCGCATTCACTAATATCCGCTCTCCCCGGACCCCGCATTCACTATATCCGCTCTCCCCGGAACCCTGCATTCACTATATCTGCTCTCCCCGGACCCCGCATTCACTATATCCGCTCTCCCAGGACCCCCGCATTCACTATATATCCGCTCTCCCCGGACCCCGCATTCACTATATCCGCTCTCCCCGGACCCCCGCATTCATCACTATATCCGCTCTCCCCGGACCCCGCATTCACTATATCCGCTCTCACCCGGACCCGCATTCACTATATCCGCTCTCACCCCCGACCCTGCATTCACTATATCGCGCTCTCCCTGGACCCCCCGGATGTTGTCATGTTACAATGTCCCCGGGATTGGATATGTGAATGGACACAAAGTGGCACATAATTGTGAAGTGGAAAAAAATGAGAAATTGTTTCGAACATTTGTGATCAATAAATCTGTGAGAAGTGTGGCGGCATTTGTATTCAGCTCCATTTACTCTGATCCCCCTAATTAAAAATCTAGTGGAACCAATTGCCTTCAGAATTCACCTAAGCAAAACAGAGTCCCCCTGTGTGTCATGTGATCTCAATATAAATACAGCTGTTCTGTGAAGTCCTCAGAGGTTTGTTAGAGAACATTAGTGAACAAACAGCATCATGAAGGCCAAGGAACACACCATTACAAGTCAGGGATAAAGTTGTGGAGAAGTTTAAAGCAGAGTTTGGTTTATAAAAAAAATCCCAAACTTTGAACATCTCACGGAGCACTGTGTTCAATCCATCATCTGAAAATGGAAAGATTACGGCACAATTGCCAACCTACCAAGACATTGGCCATCCACCTAAACTGACCGGACCCGGGCAAGGAGAGCGTTCATCAGAGAAGCAGCCAAGAGGCCCATGGGAACTCCGGAGGAGCTGCAGAGATCACAGCTCAGGGGGGAGAATCTGTCTTCAGGACAACTGTTAGTCGTGCACTCCACAAATCTGGCCTTTATGGAAGAGTGACAAGAAGAAAGCCATTGTTGAAAGAAAGCCCCTTTACCTCTGATACCCCTAACTAAATCTAGTGGAACCGATTGCCTTCAGAATTTCCCTATTAGTACATAGAGTCCCCCTGTGTGTCATGTGATCTCAGTATAAATACAGCTGTTCTGTGAAGCCCTCAGAGGTTTGTTAGAGAACATTAGTGAAGAAACAGCATCACGAAGGCCAAGGAACACACCAGACGGGTCAGGGATAAAGTTGTGAAGAAGTTTTAAAACAGGGTTAGGTTTTCCTTCCACTTCACAATGATGTGCCACTCTGTGTCGGTCTATCACATAAAATCCCAACATAATGGATTGACGTTTTTTGGTTGTCACATGACAAAATGTGAAAATGTCAAGGAAGAGGAAAACTTCTTCAGCGCCCGTATCTCTGGTTTCCTTCAATTCAGCTTTAAACCTTAGAATCAGATCAGATCGGCTCATTCTGATTGGCTGATGGGGTCAGATCGGCTCATTCTGATTGGCTGATGGGGTCAGATCGGCTCATTCTGATTGGCTGATGGGGTCAGATCGGCTCATTCTGATTGGCTGATGGGGTCCCTGTAGCTTTGAAACACTTTTTTTGCCTCATTGGGAGAGCGGGGGATGGTTGGTGTCGCTGATACAGACACCGATGTGTATTTTCCTTCACAGTTTGGTGGAACTCTATCTTAGCCAAAATGACCTTCAACACCCGGGTGAACGTGGATCGCGCATTGCTACACATGGGCTTCGGGATTATGTTCGATGAGAACAGCGCCGACTTCTCCGGGATCTCAAAGAAAGAGAATTTCAGCGTTTCCTCAGTGAGTATCTTCCTTTTATATTTAATATGTGGATGAAGTATGGTAATCCTATAACAGGCCCATCCCTATAGAGCGGGGGGGGGGGGGGGGGCTCTCCAGACTTGTCATTCAAAGGGCCAGTTTACTGTACTTCAGGCTTCAGGGGGGGCCGGATTGTGGTCAGTGGGAGGAATAGTGCCCCATCATTGGTGTCAGAGGGAGGAATAGTGCCCCATCATTGGTGTCAGTGGGAGGAATAGTGCCCCATCATTGGTGTCAGTGGGAGGAATGGTGCCCCATCATTGGTGTCAGTGGGAGGAATGGTGTCCCATCATTGGTGTCAGTGGAGGAATAGTGCCCCATCATTGGTATCAGTGAGGAGGAATAGTGCACCATTGTTGGTGTCAGTGGGAAGAATAGTGCCCCATCATCGGTGTCAGTTTGGAGGAATAGTGTCCCAACATTGGTATCAGTGGAGGAATAGTGCCCCATTGTTTGGTGTCAGTGGGAAGAATAGTGCCCCATCATTGGTATCAGTGGGAGGAATAGTGCCCCATTGTTGGTGTCAGTGGGAAGAATAGTGCCTCATCATTGGTATCAGTGGGAGGAATAGTGCCCCATTGTTGGTGCCCCCCCCCCCCCCCCCCCCCACCCCCCCCCCCCCCACCCCCCCTCCCCCCCCCCCACCCCCACCCCCACCCCCCTCTCCCCCACCCCACCCCCAAACCCCCCCCCCCCCCCCCCCCCCCACACCCCCCCCCCCCCCCCCCCCCCCCCCCCCCCCCCCCCCCCCCCCCCCCCCCCCCCCCCCCCCCCCCCCCCCCCCCCCCCCCCCCCCCCCCCCCCCCCCCCCCCCCCCCCCCCCCCCCCCCCCCCCCCCCCCCCCCCCCCCCCCCCCCCCCCCCCCCCCCCCCCCCCCCCCCCCCCCCCCCCCCCCCCCCCCCCCCCCCCCCCCCCCCCCCCCCCCCCCCCCCCCCCCCCCCCCCCCCCCCCCCCCCCCCCCCCCCCCCCCCCCCCCCCCCCCCCCCCCCCCCCCCCCCCCCCCCCCCCCCCCCCCCCCCCCCCCCCCCCCCCCCCCCCCCCCCCCCCCCCCCCCCCCCCCCCCCCCCCCCCCCCCCCCCACCCCCCCCCCCCCCCCCCCCCCCCCCCCCCCCCCCCCCCCCCCCCCCCCCCCCCCCCCCCCCCCCCCCCCCCCCCCCCCCCCCCCCCCCCCCCCCCCCCCCCCCCCCCCCCCCCCCCCCCCCCCCCCCCCCCCCCCCCCCCCCCCCCCCCCCCCCCCCCCCCCCCCCCCCCCCCACCCCCCCCCCCCCCCCCCCCCCCCCCCCCCCCCCCCCCCCCCCCCCCCCCCCCCCCCCCCCCCCCCCCCCCCCCCCCCCCCCCCCCCCCCCCCCCCCCCCCCCCCCCCCCCCCCCCCCCCCCCCCCCCCCCCCCCCCCCCCCCCCCCCCCCCCCCCCCCCCCCCCCCCCCCCCCCCCCCCCCCCCCCCCCCCCCCCCCCCCCCCCCCCCCCCCCCCCCCCCCCCCCCCCCCCCCCCCCCCCCCCCCCCCCCCCCCCCATACACCCCCCCCCCCCCCCCCCCCCCCCCCCCCCCCCCCCCCCCCCCCCCCCCCCCCCCCCCCCCCCCCCCCCCCCCCCCCCCCCCCCCCCCCCCCCCCCCCCCCCCCCCCCCCCCCCCCCCCCCCCCCCCCCCCCCCCCCCCCCCCCCCCCCCCCCCCCCCCCCCCCCCCCCCCCCCCCCCCCCCCCCCCCCCCCCCCCCCCCCCCCCCCCCCCCCCCCCCCCCCCCCCCCCCCCCCCCCCCCCCCCCCCCCCCCCCCCCCCCCCCCCCCCCCCCCCCCCCCCCCCCCCCCCCCCCCCCCCCCCCCCCCCCCCCCCCCCCCCCCCCCCCCCCCCCCCCCCCCCCCCCCCCCCCCCCCCCCCCCCCCCCCCCCCCCCCCCCCCCCCCCCCCCCCCCCCCCCCCCCCCCCCCCCCCCCCCCCCCCCCCCCCCCCCCCCCCCCCCCCCCCCCACCCCCCCCCCCCCCCCCCAACCCCCCCCCCCCCCCCCCCCCCCCCCCCCCCCCCCCCCCCCCCCCCCCCCCCCCCCCCCCCCCCCCCCCCCCCCCCCCCCCCCCCCCCCCCCCCCCCCCCCCCCCCCCCCCCCCCCCCCCCCCCCCCCCCCCCCCCCCCCCCCCCCCCCCCCCCCCCCCCCCCCCCCCCCCCCCCCCCCCCCCCCCCCCCCCCCCCCCCCCCCCCCCCCCCCCCCCCCCCCCCCCCCCCCCCCCCCCCCCCCCACCCCCCCCCCCCCCCCCCCCTCACCCCAACATAATCCCCCTCCCCCAACCCCCCCCTCCCCCTCCAACCCACCCCCCCCCTAGCAACCCCCCCCCCCCACCCCCCCCCACCCCTAATTCCCCCCCCCCCCCCCCTCAAACCCCCAAATGTAACCCAAAATATGTCCCCTTCTGGGACAAATCCCTTCAACCCCCACCCCACAACCCCCTCTTCCCCCCCCCCACCACTCTCCCCCTAAAACCCCCCCCCCACCCCCCCCTTCTTGTACCCCCCCCTCCAACACCCCCCCCCCCCACACCAAACAACCCCCCCCCCATCCCCAACCAAAACCCCCCTCACCTCCCCCCCCCCCCCCCCCTCCCCCCCCTCCCAAAACACCCCCCATCCCCCCACTACCCCCCCCCCTCCCCCCCCCCCCAAACCCCCCCCCCACCCCACAAAACACCACTCCCTAGGCTCACCCCACCCCCCCAAATCCCCCCAACCTCCCAAATCCTCCCCTAAAATCCCCCCCCCCCCCCCCCCCCCCCCAACCTACCCCCCACCCCCCACCCCCCCACCCCCACCCCCCCAAAACAACCATCCCTTGCTGGCACACACATCCTGCCCCCCCCCCCCAAATCCCTCTTCCTAACAGACATCCATTCTCCTAGTACCAATTCCTCCTCCAATTCCCCCCTTATACTACAAATCCCCCCCAAATCCCCTCTGCTAGCACTAAACCCACCCCAAAAAATGTTTCCCCCCTAACACAAATCCCCCAATCCCTCTACCTAACAGAAATCCACTCTCTCAGCAGAGATCTCCTCCCCCCCAAATCCCCTCTGCTAGCAATAACCCCCCCAAAAAATAAATTCTCCTCGCACAAATTCCTTCAATCACCCCTACTAGCACACATCACCCCCCCCCCCCCCCCAATCTCTCTTCCTAACAGAAGTCCACTCTCCTAGTATGTTTCATTTATCTTAGTCCCAAAATTTTTTTTTTTAGGTTTGTTTTTTTAATTTTTCATTCTTTTAACTTTTTTAAGTTCATTCCTTGACTTTTTTGTGTTGACAGGTTTTCCACCAATCTTATATCAGCTTCAAGGAGGGAGGAATGCGGAACAGCGCTGCGACTTCTGCCACATTAGACTTAGCCGCCCTTCAGGTCCCCCAGTTCAATGTTTAACCGCCCGTTCATCATGATGTGTGTACCACAAAGTCACCAAAACCATCCTCGGGATTGGCCGATTCTTGGACCCCAGGTGGTCAGGGAAGTAATCGGATGAAGCAGATATAAAGTGCTGAACAAAATGAAACCATCCTGCTGAGAATAAAGGGGATGTGCTGAACTATTTCTGTGTTGTTGTTTTCCCCCGGATTGCCTTTGTGTTAATGAGTGAGAGATACCAGCCGGTAATGGGGGACCCTATAGGGTGATGTGGGGGAGTCACAAACTGAGCTCTGATAGACATGTGCATTGGGAACCTTGTCATTGGTGTCAGTGGGAGGAATAGTGCCCCGTCATTGGTGTCAGTGGGAGGAATAGTGCCCCATCATTGGTATCAGTGGGAGGATTAGTGCCCCATTGTTTATGTCAGTGGGTGGAATAGAGCCCCATCATTGGTGTCAGTGGGAGGAATAGTGCCCCATCATTGGTGTCAGTGGGAGGAATAGTGCTCCATCATTGGTGTCAGTGGGAGGAATAGTGCCCCATCATTGGTATCAGTGGGAGGAATAGTGCCCCATCATTGGTATCAGTGGGAGGAATAGTGCCCCATCGTTGATGTCAGTGGGAGGAATAGTGCCCCATCATTGGTGTCAGTGGGAGGAATAGTGCCCCATCATTGGTGTCAGTGGGGGGAATAGTGCCCCATCATTGGTGTCAGTGGGAGGAATAGTGCCCCATCATTGGTGTCAGTGGGAGGAATAGTGCCCCATCATTGGTGTCAGTGGGAGGAATAGTGCCCCATCGTTGGTATCAGTGGGAGGAATAGTGCCCCATCATTGGTGTCAGTGGGAGGAATAGTGCCCCATCATTGGTGTCAGTGGGAGGAATAGTGCCCCATCATTGGTGTCAGTGGGAGGAATAGTTCCCCATCGTTGGTATCAGTGGGAGGAATAGTGCCCCATCATTGGTGTCAGTGGGAGGAATAGTGCCCCATCGTTGATGTCAGTGGGAGGAATAGTGCCCCATCATTGGTGTCAGTGGGAGGAATAGTGCCCCATCATTGGTGTCAGTGGGAGGAATAGTGCCCCATCATTGGTGTCAGTGGGAGGAATAGTGCCCCATCATTGGTGTCAGTGGGAGGAAATAGTGCCCCATCGTTGGTGTCAGTGGGAGGAATAGTGCCCCATCATTGGTGTCAGTGGGAGGAATAGTGCCCCATCATTGGTGTCAGTGGGAGGAATAGTGCCTCTTCATTAGTGTCAGTGGAAGGAATAGTGCCCCATTGTTGGTATCAGTGAAAGGAATAGTGCCCCATTGTAATGGAAGCAGACCCCGATTGCACTAGGGTATTTCCGTTAGACTCCCACTTCCCTGTCCGAACACATTTCCACGGACACCACCGCTGACCCAACAGGATGAGACAGCACCAGACTTGTATTAAAACAGGAAATAGACTGCTTTATTTTAACATAGATACAAGATCTATACACAGGGCGGGGAAATACACACCCAGACAGGAAACACATCAGCAGGCAGTCCCATCGGGGGAAGGGCTGCTGGAAACACCCCCCACCAAGCCAGTACAAACACATATATCCCATAATAGAGTGAAATGAACGAGCGCAAATAAAGATGTATGCTTGAAAAAAGTATGTAAGATGATATAAAGCCGCTAGCATGAAAGGTATACCTCAGCACCTCTGTAGTAAAATAAAAATCAAAACAATGCAGCGCTGAAATTAAAATTGTGAAAATACCCATATTCAGTGCATATTCATCACACTTGTCAGTTCATGGCATAAATATATATGAAGTCCTGTAATCAAAAAGGCACTAAATTGTGGAATTCACAAAGTTGTGGCAGACTCCTGGCTGTTCCGTGAGGCAATAGTACAATAATGCACTTACCAGAAGTACATACAAACTGAGCGTTGTATGTAAATATCCCACATGGACATCAGGATCTGGTCATCACAATGGCGTCATCTAGGGCTGCAGCAGACTCCCAGGGATGGTGTCACTCACTCATGGGGGTCATCACAGGCTCACCAGAAGGGTCCAACGCCGTCCAGATTCCTTAGACTCCTCCACCTTGGGTGGCTCAAAATAAAACGAGCCAGGGAGGCAAAATAATGCTAATAGTGTGATACTGTTTATTGAAGATCCAAAGTATAATTGCAAACTGCAAAACACTCACATGTGATACAGCAGAGAAGGCGATACAGACATAGCCTCACAAATCAATGATCCAGATGGGGTATAGCGTCAAATAGAGGGATTCCCCTGACATGTTTCGTGCGAACCTTTGATAACGTGCGGTGGAAATACCGGACCGGCCGCTCCAAAATCGCCTTATAAGACGCACTGACATTTCCCCCCCAGTTTTGGGGAAAGAAAAGTGCGTCTTATGCGGCGAAAAATACGGTAATACATAAGGGGGATATGATCACCATGTATAATACATAAGGGGGGATATGATCTCCATGTATAATACATAAGGGGGATATGATCTCCATGTATAATACATAAGGGGGGATATGATCTCCATGTATAATACATAAGGGGGGATATGATCTCCATGCATAATACATAAGGGGGGGTATGATCTCCATGTATAATACATAAGGGGGGATATGATCTCCATGCATAATACATAAGGGGGGGGTATGATCTCCATGTATAATAAATAAGGGGGGATATGATCTCCATGCATAATACATAAGGGGGGATATGATCTCCATGCATAATACATAAGGGGGGGTATGATCTCCATGTATAATAAATAAGGGGGGATATGATCTCCATGTATAATACATAAGGGGGGATATGATCTCCATGTATAATACATAAGGGGGGGATATGATCTCCATGTATAATACATAAGGGGGATATGATCACCATGTATAATACATAAGGGGGGATATGATCTCCATGTATAATACATAAGGGGGGATATGATCTCCATGTATAATACATAAGGGGGGATATGATCTCCATGTATAATACATAAGGGGGGATATGATCTCCATGTATAATACATAAGGGGGGATATGATCTCCATGTATAATACATAAGGGGGGATATGATCTCCATGTATAATACATAAGGGGGGATATGATCTCCATGTATAATACATAAGAGGGGATATGATCTCCATGTATAATACATAAGAGGGGATATGATCTCCATTTATAATACATAAGGGGGGATATGATCACCGTGTATAATACATAAGGGGGATATGATCTCCATGTATAATACATAAGGGGGGATATGATCACCGTGTATAATACATAAGGGGGGATATAATCTCCATGCATAATACATAAGGGGGGGATATGATCTCCCTGTGTAATACATAAGGGGGGATATGATCTCCGTGTATAATACATAAGGGGGGATATGATCTCCATGTACAATATATAAGGGGGGGATATGATCTCCATGTATAATACATAAGGGGGGATATGATCTCCATGTATAATACATAAGGGGGGATATGATCTCCATGTATAATACATAAGGGGGGGATATGATCTCCATGTATAATACATAAGGGGGGATATGATCTCCATGTATAATACATAAGGGGGGGGATATGATCTCCATGTATAATACATAAGGGGGGGGATATGATCTCCATGTATAATACTTAGGGGGGTATATAATCTCAATGTATAATACATAAGGGGGGATATGATCTCCATGTATAATACATAAGGGGGGGATATGATCTCCATGTATAATACTTAGGGGGGGATATAATCTCCATGTATAATACATAAGGGGGGATATGATCTCCATGTATAATACATAAGAGGGATATGATCTTCAAGTATGATACATAAGGGGGGATATAATCTCCATGTATAATACAAAATGGGGACCTTAGCTGGTGAGCCTATTCACTGGAGTTGACTGAGGGAAATGGCGGCCAAACCAGAAAGAATGACCATGGACCAGATAGGACCAGACCCCTGAAAGAGATATTTTCTTATGTTTCTGCTGTTCATCGAGGTCTCAGATATCCTAGCTGGGGGGCCTATTCACCAGTGTTGACTGAGGGACTTTATTTGGGGGATCTGGCCTGGAGGGTTCACAGAAGAAGTGTCTGTAAAATATTGGAAGGAGACATCCAATTATCCAAGGACCTTAGTGGGTACAGACCGCTGTCCCTGTGACTGTGTGCTGCTGCTATCCCTCTTGTGCTAGAGTCAGTTACTTAAAGGGGACATTATGTACTTTGTGTCTTAGTGTAGCTCAACCCAATATTTGCTGCTGCAAGGACTGTGCTCAGATTCTAAGGAGGAAGATTAGTGTCCTCAAGTTGCTTCCTAGAGCTGCTGGAGTATCCCACAGTTACCCTGAACCCATCCAATTTCACGTCCTGCAATAAAGCATCAGAAAAGCATATCCCCAGACTGATCATTGAGCCAAAAGAGTGGTTGTGACCATGTGCTGGTTGCGCTGCATACAGGAAAATTAGTAGAAGTTTGGCAGGTTTGGAGAGGAGTTTGGTAACAGGTAGTTATCACTGGTAAGGAGGAACTGCATAGGTAGTTATTAATGCTGGAGAGCAAATTCACATGTTGCCACAAGTGGTGAAGAGGGGTTTCACAGATGGTCGTTTTTGGTGGAGCTGTGTTTCACAGATGGTCATCAATAATGGGGAAGGAATTCACAGCTGGTGGCCATTGTTGGAGAGGGGGATTCAAAGTGGTCATCATCTGTGGAGAGGGGTTTCAATGTGGTCATCGTTGTAGAAAGAGGATTCACAGATGGTCATTAATGATGGTGAGGGAATTCACAGGTGGTCATCAGTGATGTGAAGGGGATTCAAGGGATTCACAGTTGCTGATCAGTGGTGGAGAGGGGATTTAGAAATGGTCATAAATTATGGGGGGGAGGATTCCATGGTGATTATTACTTGTGGAAAGGAGATTCACGGATGATCATCAATGATGGGGAGGGGATTCCATTGTGGTCATTACTGGTGGAGAGGAAATTCACAAATGGTCATCAATGATGGGGATGGGATTCCTTGGTGGTCATCACTGGTGTAGAGGGGATTCACACGTGGTCACTACTGGTGGAAAAGGGAATTCACAGGTGGTCATCACTGGTGGAGAACGTATTCAAAGATGGTCATCAATGATGGGCAGGAGATTCATAGGTGGTCATCACTAGTGTAGAGGGGATTCAAAGATGGTCATTAGTGGTGGAGGGGGATTCACAGATGGTCATCACTGGTGTAGAGGGCATTCACAGGTGGTCACCACTGGTGGAAAGTGGTTTTAAAGATGGTCATTGGGGAGGGGATTCAAGGTGACCATCATTGGTGGAGAGGGGATTCAAGGTGGTCATCAATGGTCGGGAGG